GGAGCCTAGTGATTAAGATTGACAGGGAAGCAGTGATGAAGATTGCGGTAAACGGGGACCTGTTCACACTGAAAAAGGGGATGCACGAGCTCAACCTCACTGTGGGGGGAGTGCCTTTCAAAGAGGACAGCCTGGTCAATAAGGTGTGTGTTTTTGTTTTTTTTTTAATGTATACACCACAAAGAGACTTTCACAGATTTCCTAACTGTTGTGACTTCATTCGTTCCTCAGGTGAACCCTCGTCTTGACGGTTGTATGAAGGAGTGGCGCTGGCTAACGGGTGAAGACACCTCCATACAAGAAACCATCAGGTCTAATGATAACATGCAGTGTTTCAGCAGTGAGGATCCGGGGGCATATTACCCCGGCACAGGCTTTGCTCTCTTCAACATCACCTATGGTACATGCGTGTTTGTGTTCATAGCTTGAACAACTCTTTGTATTCATTGTAAGCACATGTGGTCATCTTCATCCCCCTGCCCTCCTCTTCTCTTCAGAATCACAGAACCTGAGCGTCCGCTTGACCCTGAATCCAACCACTGCTATCGGGGTGCTTTTTGCACTGGTTCACCAGGACAGAGTGCCTCTCTCCATCGCTCTGGCTGATTATAACCCTGTAACCGATGAGTGGCGAGATGTGAGTAAATGCATCCCGCACTGTGCACGTGTTCAAAACCACTTTCTGTATATTTGATATGCAAACTGACTTCCTGTGTGTCTTTAGTTTGTTCTGGTGTCTGTAGGTAATGCCGTCATTGCCAGCTCTCCTGCACCCTTCTGTGATGGTATGAGTCATGAAATCCAGGTGACAGTCTCTGGTAACCAGACCCTTCTGCTGGTCGACGGCCATTCTGGACGAAGTGAAGATGCTGAAGTTCCCACCGGCCTCCTGTCACAGTCTACTACATTCATAGGAGGCCTCCCTGGTGAGCACATACACACTTACACAGAACAGAAAAGTTTTCCATAAAGTTTTTAAAGTACTTCCTACCTCTATTGAAGAGTATCAGCTTCTGTTATTGTCTGCATGACTGCTGGGTTCAGGCTGGAAAACATCCCCGGCAGCTAGAATCTTGCACAGTTCTCAAAGCTGAAAGAACAACATAAGATTTTTTGTAATGCATTAATTAAAAAAAAAAACACACAAAACGTCCCACATGACAACAGATGGATGAATGTTTTCACTGACACGTTGAACAAAGTGAATAATGTTATTTGGACACTTCTTGTGATTTCCACCCGCAGATGTTCCTCTGGTGTCCACGCTGGTGTCGACACCCTACAGCGGCTGCATGGAGGTCAGTGTTAACGGACAGCCTCTGGACCTGGACCGGGCCATCCACAAACATAACGACATCCGGTCGCACTCCTGCCCCCTGCTGGACTCCCACCAGTGAACAGCGCTTGAATCTGCCAAAACCGATCCATAAGCAGTTCATTGAGACAAGGGGGTGATGGGAAAATGTTTTTAATTGGAATATGTCACAGTGTGGCTTGAGCCCAAGATCACCCCTTCCCCTCCATCCTCTCCCTCCCTGGCCTTATCCTGTGATGACACTGCTGCCTAGAAGCAGTGGCAGGGATTTTCACAGCAGTCTCAGTGTTATGACCCAGCAAGTTAGTTCTTCTGCCAGTGAGTAACACTCCCTGTACAAAGGGAATAATAGCTGCACAGCATTGCCTGAAAACTGGCTGTGTTTTAAAGCCTCGTAAACTCACAAGAACACGCAGGGTCTAATCCAAAATCAATGCTACGGGTTTGGTCCGGTGGTCAGCCTTCTACACCTGGTATCCTGTGCTTAAACGCAGATCTAACTGGAGGTTTGTAAGCAACGACTAGTCTGTGCTCGTGTTGCTTACATCCAGCTCACTTAAGGTCCACGTTCACAAAGCTTGAATTAATCGAGTGCTAATATAGAATCTCCAATTAAATGAAAATGTAAGAATTAAAAACACAGGGACCAGAAAGACAGTCCTACATCAGCTACTTCACTCAGAGAAAAGGTGTGAACAGGTGCTCAGATCTTCAATTAATAAATCCCATTTGCCCTTAACACCCCCCCCCCCCACCCCCCTTTGCCACAGCGAGGCGGTATGAACTTTGCGTTCTGTAGAAAATATTGCACATCGTTGCAGGTATAAATGGACTGCCTTCTTGAATTTCCCCCCCCCCCTGCTCTCGATTGGAGGAGCACTCCATATCTGCCTGCAACTTCGAAAATCAACCGTGTGCCTACAAAAGAACAAACCAACCCACACTTGTCGACAGCTTCCCTCTAAACAGGTGAATCAGTTCCCAAAGGTGCAGCACTGCAACCCAGCAAACTAACCGACGCTTTGCATTGTGTGCCCCTGAGGATTTTCTCTTTTAAAGAACAGACTCACACTCATGTTCATCACAAAAAGGTCCCTTCTTTTCCCAAAAATCACCCAGTCACAGTTAAAGCCTGCCATATACCAACCCGAGGACAGTAGATTAGACACAGAAGCACAGGGAGACAGGAAGGGGCCTTCTCCACAAGGAAGAGAGAGCACTGCATTGATCGCACCACACAAGCTACTGAGAAAGGAAAAGAGGGCGCTGTAATATACTGAATATGTAAATAATGTGACTGTACAATGCTTTATAGAAGACAGAGCAAACACTACCTTAAAACCCCCCTTTGAGGCACATTTATGGTCCAAAGTTCAAAGAAAGATCAGAGTCTCTCAACTTCATCTGCTTCTTAAAAAAAAGAAAAAAAAAAGGTTTCAGCGACAAATCATGGTGGAACTGGGAGACTGTGAGAGCAATACCCAGGGATCAAAGTAGCATCAAGCTTTAGAGACTCAGTTTTTAATTTGATTTATTGGTGCTCAGCGAATCAAAACACAGTAACAACAAAGAATGTCAGAAGAGCGAATGCCTAAAGGGCTCCAGTGTTATTTTACATCCCTGTGTAAGGTATCATTTTCTAGTTTTCTGATGGATGAATGCCAGAATATAGAGCTTGACTTGTTAATGTCTTATTTTATTTTTTAATCATATGTGATGTATCTTGAACTTCTAGTTTTTATTTTTCACCTTAACTGCCAGTATGTGTATGATGCTGAGAGAAGTCTGCCTTTTTTGAGTTTTAACTTCCCTCAGCAGTGAAAATCCTATTTAAAAAAAAAAAAAATTAAAATAAAATAAAAGCAGCTGTATGAAAGTCACTGAGTGAAGTTGTGTTTTGAAAAACAAAAACACATCCGTGCACCTTGTGCTTCTGTTTCCGATGCTCTCGACTGTTGCGGCATAGCTTAAGCTGTGATGGAGCTCAATATTATGCTTTAATACGGAACCTCCGCCTTAGAGGCAGGGTGACCTTGAAAAGAGAAGAGCTAAAACATTCTTTTAGACAGAGGATAACCTGAGGGGCTGCATCAGGGGTCTCAAACCTGTGATTCTAGAGCCACATGTGATTGTTTTGCCCTACTTTACAGTGGCTTTGCCATTGGACTATTTTTAAAATTGTTAAACTGCTGTATGTTTCAGTTACTGTCAAAGTAGGCTGCTTTTAATGTAATTAATTTTCTCCCAGAGACCATTTGCAGTATAGTAAATGGATTGGTGCTTATATATAATGTACTAACAAGTGAACGCAGTGGAAGTAGTACTTTAAAGGAGCTCATGAATGAAGAAAAGAGTGGATGGATGGAGGTTAGTGAATCAGAAAGTGCAGATGATTAGTGAGGATGAAGGCAGGGCACCTACGAAGAGTGGAAGATGGTCCAGATGACATACCTGTGGAGGTAATGAAGATGTGTAGAGGGCAGTGGACTTTTTGATCACTGAATTATGTGAGGCCTGCTATGATGTCTGGTTTGTAGACAGTGACACTGGGGGGAAAAAAGAGGAGGTGGAGGTAACAGAGCTGAAGATGTAAAGGTTTTCATTGAAATGACCAGAGTAGGTTCACTCTACAGTTTAATAACAGCAGTCACTACAAGCAAATATATCACTGAAAAAAGCAGAACTACAGCGCAGCACACTGGGTTATGCAGAGCTGTGCTTTATTGCTTATGAATGTAACAAGATGATGAGACTATGAAGTTACACGGTCTGCCTTTGAGGTGGAAAAAAACCTAACAGAAGCACTGAAAAAAAGTTCAACATTTTGGAAAAAATAAACTTATTTGCTTTTCCGAAGAGTGAAGGCCAAAACAGGAAAACCTGAAACCCGTTTGCCTGGATTTGTTTGAAAAGTGGAGGACAGACATTACACAAAGTCTTTGAAGACCCGTTTTCAGACTCTCTGCCTCAGATATTACAGCAAATAAACGTATTTTTGTCAGTGTTGAACTCCTTCAAAGGTGAAGTTTTTTTCAATTTAAAGCCCTTACTATGCATTTCTTACAGGTCCAGCAGTCCCATGCATCGATCACTAACTCAGAGGTCATATCGACTGTAAAGTGCACATTAAATGAATCACGCAAACATAATTAAATAACAGCTACATGAACATAATTTACTCTCAGGAAAGCCCTTTGAACTGTACAGTATAATGAGACGATACGCAGGACGACTTGCAACTTAGAACAGAAACCAGACCACAGTCAGTATTTAAACTCCGTTTGAAGCCCTCCAAAGGCCAGCCTTAGGCTTAAAAGAATCTTTGACATCTTGAGAAATTTTGCTTATTCACTTTCACTTCACAATTTTTGTCTTTTTTAAGAGAAAACTTGTTAATAATCGAGCAGATTCAGAGGTGCTGGTACTTTTCCCTCATTTCTGGTCTTTTTGCTGCCGTGCAGAGCTTCAGAGCTGTGTGGTACTGAGTGAATAAGCAAGTTTCCTTTGATGGCTACATATTAAAAGGACTCATGTCTACATATTAAACACTACATAACCATAAATCTCTGTCTGACTTCACTTGAAACCTATTAGACACACGTGAAACGCAGCATTGAAATCATTGAAATCTCTGTCTCTGAAATGTTTTGTGCTACAGTCAGTCTGACCAGGTGAAGGTGTTTGCAGCACGCTCTCCATATTTGTCTAAAGTCTCAGCAGGCGTAAGGTGGAGGTTTCTCAAAGGCGCTGTAGGAGGATGCATAGAGCACCGGAGCGTTGGGGGTCAGCATGTAGCCTCCTGGGTCCTGGGTGGCTCCCTGAGGCTGTGGCTGGGGGAGAACCTGAGAGGGCAGCTGGCTCTGGTTCTCCTCAGACAGGCAGGAGGAGGGGGAGGAGACAGGGCCTCCCCCAGGAGGGAGCATCTGGGGAGTAGCAGGTGCCTGGTGGTTGGTGTTATGCTGTGGGAGAGGAGGAGAAACAGGAAGTGGTTGGCTGCAAAGGCATGTGGAAGTTCAGCCAAAGAGATATCAAATATCAGCAAAGATCAGTCCTGAGCCATCGATCAGAAATACGTAACCAGTGCAAAACATCTGCTGCGACTCTGTTATGAGCTACAGCTGTGCTTTCAGCTCATGTGTAACAGGCATTAGTTCACTTCCATCACCAGCTGTTTTGATACTAGAGTGCTAGTAGGCAGGAATGTACACTCAGTAGCGAGTGCATCTCCCTGTATTTCACTCTTAGTTTTGGCCTCAGCTCCTACCTGCATGGATACTGGGTAGTTGGGGTAGGCGGGCAGAGCCTGCCCAGACGGACAGAAGTTGGGGTAGGTGAGCATGTGCTGGGTCGGGTTGTACAGGATGTGAGGTGCTGGCGTTGGGCTGGGAGCGATCTGAGGAGCAGGCTTCTGCTGGAGGAAAGGGTAAAACATGCTTTATGTAAAGAGATCACTAAAAACAAGCTGCTGTTAAAATAACCGGTTAACACACATTTACACAGATGCAGGAACACATCAGGAAGTTTAAACTGCTCAAAGTTGATGCGTTTATTTAACCAAATAAGCATGTAGCCAATCATAGCATGTGACTGCTTCTAAACTCTCTGAATTCAAAGTTTTGGGTTTCTGTTTTTTTGGGAGGGAGTGGGGGCAGAGTGAGTTAAATCCTCTTGGACTCCTCACCACGATATCCTTGTACGCGCCGAGGATGGCGGCGGTGATGATGCCCAGGAACAAGCCGATCACGTTGAGCACCACCGAGGTCCACATCAGGCGGTACAGCTGGACCACATCCCAGCAGCCGCTGACCCCGGTGAACTCGTAGTAGTGTGAGGAGTACAGGCTGGAAGATAAGGACAAGTTGTGACATGGCAGGAAAATCGCAGGTGTAACTTATTTAAGTTCTGCTTTATGGCTCTTATTGTAGTTTCCATTTTACATCCCAGACTGTTTTATCCCAAATCTTCCAGGATGGCAAGAAAACAAAGAGTCTCCTACACCATCCATCACTTTTTCTTGCTTTATTATTTCCAGACAGCCTTTTATCGGCTTATGACTGAGTGGTAACGCGGTCAAAGGCACAGGGAGAATGTTTTGAAAGCGCTTTCTCTTGTGTGTGTGTGTGTGTGTGTGTGTGTTAGGCTAAAATATCCAAGATTTAAGAGCTGGCTGTCATACAAGAAAGAGCTGAAATTTCCAGGGTTTTTTTTGCAGCAGCAGCAGCAGTTTCTCTGAGCTCTTTCTCATGTCTGGGATGCTATTTTCCTGCTGCTCTCTGGCCTCTATGTTATTATTAGAAGACTATAAGCTCATAACTGGAAAACAGAAAAAAAGTGGTTGGCCGGTATTCTAACATGACCTGCAGAAAAGCTCCTCTGAAACTAAACTGGAGAGAAATGGTTAATTAACACAAACCTGTGTTGTGTTATGGCCTGCAGACCTGCAGTTTGAGTTTGTCTCACCTCTCGCAGTTATACAGGTAGCAACAGTAGCAGGTGTTGCTCCTCACTTTCAGCTTGCATGACTTCTCAAAAGAGTGGCACATCACCTGCAGCTCCAGAGAGTGGATAAATTAGAGAGAGATGGGTTAGATGCAGATGCAGAAACCAGATAAACAAGAACTGCATGGACCAATAACCAAACACACACACACAAAGTTGTCAACATATTGCTTCCACAGCATCTACGTTCTTTTTATTTGATTTGCAGAGGGAGACGGAAAGCTGTTGCTTTCAGTGAGCCAGTAAATCTGTGTAGTAACATCATTTGACCACTAGGTGTCACAGCACCCTTTGCAAAAGTTTAAACTGAGCATTAAAAGGTTTGTCAGAGCACACAATCAGTACTGTGGTATATTCTTTAAAGCAGAGGTGTCAAACATAAGGCTGGGGGGCTCAGAACAGGCCCAGCAAAGACTTTAATCTGGTCACTATTGGAAAATGTGAAAGTAGGCGTACATTTTTAATTGTATTTTTATAAGTTTGTCCTACTGAGGAAGACCTCCCCCACTTCCATTCATACTACATCAAAGTCATGTAGTAATAGATAAGCATTTGAATTACAGATAAATGCTGTTTTTTCACTATCTGCTATAGGAATTTCACCACGTGTACACAGTAAAGTAAATAAAAAAATCAAGTAAATAAGAGCTATGAAAACATTTTTTACACATTTATTTGTGTTTTTTAAGCTCAGAGAGCTGTGCTGGGAGATTTCCTTCATTGCCTACAGCAGCGTTTATTTCTCATGTAGAAAAACTGAGGCGCACTCTTGAGACGACACTTTATTAAATGTGTATTTAAACTTCTTCACACTGACAGAAAGAGGGGCACAGGGTTTACACATATATCAGAATCACCTCAGTGTAGTAGCTGTCGTAGGCGTAGCCAGATCCACTGGGGTGAAAGTCACACATGCCCTTCTGCATACGCGTAATGTCCTGAAAAAGAGAGCCGTTACACATCCATCCTGATCACATCCTCCGCAACCCTGCTGCAGCGCACCGTCCGGTCTACCCGGCGCACAAAACCCACCTCGTTCAATAAAACCCTTACTGAACTTTATGCAACGTGAAGGCTAATAAAATCATTCTTACTGTCCAGAGCTTGACTGTGCAATAAATGTGACTTTTACAGTCATGAGATCACAAAATGAATATATCTGCAGAGGTCTGATAAGCACCCGGGGATCGATAACGGGGACGGGGTCCAGCTTTGAAACTCTCATTAGGAAGTAGAGGCTCCTTACACAAATAACTGCGAGAAATACTTTATAAAAGGGGATAATTCCCCTGTAAATGAATGGAATTTAAATGTGTTTTAATTGAAATTAAAATGTAATTAGGATGATCACAGTTGGTGAGGAAGAACATTTCTATTTAATGTAGTTCTATGTAGTTACTTCTTTGTTTCCTATAAAAACCTGACTGGTTACTCTGTTATTCTAGTGTTTCTACCTTTAAACAGGTGTAGGCAAATATAATTACAATGTAATTTCAAATAAAATACATTGAAATTACACCTTTAGTTGTGAAGTGCTACCAAAATGCACACAAGCTAAACTCTACACTCTGATTTAACCTGTGAGAGTGTTTGGTGATCACATCCCAGCTGATTTATTGTTGTCATCAAAGTTTCTGTGACACAAAGAATTTAATCAGGCCTGGTATCCTGAAAGTTTGACAGCTTTTCATGTTGCACAGCAGCTCGCTGCAGGGTGAGATTAGTTGGTCTACCTTGCACCCACACGTTTCTTGATCTGACCTTTTGATCTCAGCATGTGTGGTTAAACCCCGTCTGTGAGGATGCCTGCTTGAGTTTATGTCAAATAGAAGTGATACTTACAATAAAGTCTGAAGCAATTATCCCATCGACGATGGCACAGAAGCAGGCAACGATGACTCCGACACTGATGAAGATTATCGAGGATACCAGCTTAAAGAGAAGCGAAGGGAGGAAAGCACAGAGGAGAGTCACGAGACACGATTTAGTAAAAAAGAAGTAAGAAGTAAGTCAAAAACAAAACTATCAGAGCAGGTGCAGCTTGTGTTTTTGTGTTATTTGCATGCATGTATATCTAAATAAAAGCAAAAACAAGATTTTATAAACTCAACACACAGACACACACACATATTTAAGCTTGGCATGTCTGCTGATTGACTGCAGGGCAATAAAGGCAATGTAGAGACTCTCGCTCTGCCAGCACAGAGGAGCTTTGTGGCTGATTTACAGGCGAAGAAGCAACACGCAGGACAGAGCAAGGTCAGTGCAATTCTCCCACACACGCAGACACACACACATATTCGTCTTCACATCTTTGTGAGGACATCAAATTGACATAATGCTTCCCCTAATTAACCATCAGAAAACAAAGCCGAATCCTAAACTCAAATTTGTACTTCTCAGACAAACTGAACAATGCAGCGCACACGTGGGTCTCCTATAAGGCTTCTTCTGTTAGATAAAATCATTTTCTAATATCACACACGCACACAGCCCAGCAGACCCAGCTGGCTGATCACAGATGTCTGATCATAAACTTTATCATCGAGCATTGGTTACTGTCTGTTCAATCGCTCCTCCAGGACTGAACCTCCTGCACAGAAACACAGTTTCTCTCTCTCTCTGGTAGTTGTAGTTTGAGACCAAAGAGCAAGAAAAAAATAAAAATATTTATGTAGCTTATTATAATCTGGCATCAGTGGCTTACTGTTTTACAGAGGGCAACAAGTACAGACATAGATGGAAAAACAGTATATAAATGAATATAAAATATAGTTTGTGCAGTTCTAACAAGCTGGAAGTTGTTATGATCGCCGTCTTTTGTCTTCCAGTTGTTCAGTTTTTGGTTAGTCGCACTTTAGAAGTCATCTTGTTGGCACAAAAATACTATTTATGCCTGTGAACATTTTTTTTTATAGATTCAGTTTAAGGAAATCAGAACAAACTGTGTGTTTTTATGACAGGCTGCTAGTAAAAACATGTCTAAAGACTATGTAAAAGGGGACCTTTGCTAGCTTGTCTGTTAGTTTGAAAATGATTGAATTTGCATTTAGAAAATGACAGAAGAAAATGGAAACAGTTGGTGGGGGGACCACTTCTATAAAAACGGCCATTTCTTTGTTCACCCAGTTCAGGGTGAACATGCTAGCGTTAGCTTTAAAGCTGCTGAGACAGCATTCATTGGGATGAACGTGCAAGCTGATCCAGAGGTTAGCTGATCACAATCGCAGCAGATTTATGAGCTGAAAACTGAGGCTGGATCTAAATGAAGGAATCGTTAGAGGAGGAACCGTTACCTTTCACAACCACAGAAACAAGTATGGGGTCTGTAACTTGGACCCTGTAGATCGAGATGGTCACAACAATCAGCTCCAGGTATTAAAACAGGATGTTGTTTTGTGTTCTTTCTTTTCCATAAATCATCAAACTCTTTTAGCAAAACAGGTTTGCGGATGATTACACTGTCCCGTTTATTTGGGGGAAAATGGATACGAAGGCATATTAATTCTGAGCTTTTCCTGAGCAAAGTGAAATAAGAGGCAGGCTGAGAATATAAGCTTTTCTGGGTGGGTTTTATCTGCCACTGGTCCAGACTCTCTGCTTCATTAGCGGTTTAAATGGCTCCGCTTTTATGGGCTGCAAGTGGGAGATGAGGCCAACGGCAGAGACAATAGAGCCTGACAACTGCATTACTTCACATTACCTTAGCACCAGCTGCCAGCGCATAAAATATCCATGCCACCCAAACCTCCCCTGATACTGAAAAATCAAATAGTGTAAAAGATTAAAGACACGCGGCATACTGTAGATGGTTTTCTACTCTCAGGAGCCGCTTTGGGGAAGAAACATTAAAAAGACGGGAAAGTAATTCAGTCGAATCCTTTTACTGACATGCAACTGTAAAGTGTGAAGTAATTTACTTCATTACCGTATCTCTGAATTTAATCTGCTACATTTTAAAGCAGTTTTTTTTTTAAAATTCTACATGAAAACAGTCAAAGGCGCGTCAAGCACCTCTGTAAGATTTATTCTGATAGTGCTCAGAACGTTGAGCCTTTTCTCTAATGGTCGTTCATTTACACAATGTTTGGGAAGAGCTGATCTACAGGGAGTGCAGCATTATTAGGCAAGTTGTATTTTTGAGGAATAATTTTATTATTGAACAACAACCATGTTCTCAATGAACCCAAAAAACTCATTAATATC